TCTGGGTTTAAATTCTTTTCTGCAGCTGTTTATCTGTTGGTAGAATTTTCGTGAGTCTTTTCTTTTTTCTTCTAAACATGCTGTAACGGTATATGCCTAAGTAAAAAATAAATATTTTTAATTACCTACATAGTTAATTACAAAAAGAACTAGCCGCCGCACTATATCTTAAAGTAGAACGTTTAAAATCTACAAAGCTAAGCTGACCACACATCTGGATACATCTGTAAATGGAAAAGAAGAAGTCAGAGGTCAGATGTGCTAAAAAAACCGACAACAATCGGATATCTATATAGCAGACGCATCCGCGGAAGTTATATATATTCTAGGAGCCATATTACAACAGATGATCAAATTACCCCATCTACACATTTCCAGATGCATACGTTGTTGTCCGCGAACAACATCTACGTCTGCCGATGACCGATGTGTAGAGGAGCCTTAATATACATTGATATAAAATATAACTAAGAATAATAATTGAATGAGGCACTGACCTCCTTCGTTATCAATATAAGATTAAGTTACATAATTTATAAACGTGACAGATATATACAATAAATGTTGTGTCTATTAAAACAAAAATAAATAAACAAAGATAAATTACAATATTTATGGAACGTTTATCGTAAATTATAAAGATAAATCAACCATATAGTTAAATTGGCCTTGGGATTGAAAGAATAAAGATAAAAAGCCAAAACTTAACAGATATTTAGTTAGATATTATCACATGGATTGCATGGCAATAAATCGACAGGACATCGGGATAATTATAAAGTAAGCAGAAAATCCACGGCACAAGACAGTTACTAAAATACGGAGGTTATCTTTACGACCTCTGATACCTTTGCGACAACCATAAAGAAACACAATATAATATCATCAATTTTATTGAATTCGATTGCGTTCTCCACTATTTCTCGATTAATGAATATGGTACTTAAAATTATTTTTTGGCAGAACAAAACAAAAAGAAGAGGGAGATATATGAATCAATAGAAATAAAAAGAAATACCAACGCAATAAATGACAAAAAAGATAGACAAAACCCAAATAAAATATATTTCAATGAAATATCAGATATCAACTTTTATATGTCAATTCATTAATGGCTGTGTCCCGTTTTACGTTTTGGTATAGTATTTATAGTCAGTTAAAACATTTCTCTCCGACTCGATTTATAAGGGCAGTTCAATATTACATTTACTGGTAATCAAGTTAAAGTATAAATAACACGCGTCAATGTTTTAAACGTATTTGAACAATCCCCGCACTTCGTACGAAATAGATGGAAGAAAGAGAGAATGAAAGATACATCTCGAAAAATAAATACTGGATATTGAAATGCTATTCAAAATCACCAATATGTAATACGCTACTTGGAGGTTCGGTTCCAGCCGGCTAATAGCGGCTTCCCACGGTCGGCGATATTGCGGACGTAAGCGGACCAGCCTGCACCACGTACCGTGGGAAAGGTCTCGTCCGTGGTAGCACAGGCACGTCCGTTTTGGTGCGTCCTATCCATCATCCATCTAGAGTCGGTAACATCCAATGACGTACATTGGTAACATCAAAGGTGCGGTATATGCTCGTGCTCGCGATCCTAGCGCGTCTGTGTTTTAACAGACAACTGCAAGTCAGAAGTTTTTTATTCGCTGACACGAGTAGTTGTCTGTAGTGTTGTCAAAGTTGTTTTGCAGTTTTTTGCTAAAAAATGGAATGGACAAACGAAGTTATTTTTGATTTTTTTAAATTTGTATCAAAATGAAACAAATTTATGGAATTCTACGGCACCAGAGCATAAGAAACGGAACCGATATATACGATGTATGGAACCGAATAAAAAATCAATTGAAGAATAGTACTATTTCGGTTAAAGAATTAAAAACGAAGAGAAATAATTTAATGCCGACATACAAAAGGCAAAAAACAAAAGGTGGAGAATCGATGGGAACTGGAAATGGGGCTGATGATGTTTACAAGCCTGAGTGGCCTTTTTATGATATAAGCAAACAATACTGTCACGGACCTACACAGACTGTCACGGACCGTAGGAAAAGCTCTGTCTGCGGTGCGTTGTCGTCCGTGCTGATCGGCTGTCCGCGATGATCTGTAGAATCGCCGATCGTGGGAAGCCACTATAAGATAAGAAACACTGTTAATTCATGCCAGTGCTGTACAGCTAAAATGTTTATTATTTTACGAAGTAGAATTAAATCATTTACTGTCAATATGGCCTATTGTCATTTAATTAAAAATTATTTTTGTTGCTTACTATGACATGTTAAAAACTTTTTTATACACTTATGTACTTTACGACAGCTTTAAGTAAATTAAAATTGTCCTTTTTCTGTTCTTCATTAATCTATATTTGATTATAGAAATAAATGATGCGCCCATGTCTGGTAATATGATATTATTCTTTTAATGTTTGTCGGCAACCAGTTTTTTTGGTGTTTCAACTGTCTTTATAAATACTATAAGTCATATATATGCATATTTTACAATATCTGTTCTTATACATGTACATTTTAGAATCTTGACAAAGGCAAGGGTTTCCAGCCGAAAAATTGATTGCTATGGAAAATAAAATCTATTTCTACATGACATGTAATATATATTTTATTGAACCGAAACCCAAGAAACAGTAATTTTATATTAAATACAATACGGTTCAAGAAACTCAAAAATAATCTTTTTAAGCAATCTTGTGTCTTCCATTCTTTGAACATGACCATACCAAATTAACTGTTTCCTCTCAATATCTGTTGTTAAGTAATCATCTACTCCAATTCGTCGTCTTATTTCCTCATTTAGAACTCTTTCCCTGCGGGATATACCTAACGATCTTCTAAACACATCCATTCCTACAGCTTCTATTTTTTTTGTTGTTCTGGGTTATTCGCAAAGTATTTCATTTAGGCAGCCAATTGTTCTTCTAGTTTGTGTTACCCTTTTCTTTATTTCCTCATCGTCTTTTCCCGTTCTATCGAAGATTACTTCCAGGTACGTGTATTCACTACAGGATGTGATATCTCATTATTCTCCAGTTCGATATTGGATGACTCAACTCCTATGGGTAGATATTTAGTTTTTCCACATTAATTTCCAAGCCCCACTGTTCATACTCCTCCTTTAGTTTTTTGCCATATACTCCAGATTGTCTTTATCATTAGCTATGACTTGGTCATCAGCAAATTGTATGGTATATAAACAAACCTATACCCATACCGTGACATTTACGTTTCCACTGATTTAGTGCTTTTGCAACATACAGTATTGGAAGATTTAAATCGGAACATACGGATTATTAATACAATTAGTAAGATCCCCAGACCTGCAATTTCCCAGTGTAAATTTCAATATAACATCGCGATGTCTTATAATTAATTCATTTGTTCGACTGGATTGCTACTCCTTCGCGATTTCTAGTAGCGTATTCGGCAGGTGTACGCCGACACTGTTGTCTATCGTTCACTGATTTTCTGTGTTTTTGTGCAGATAATAACAATGTTTTATTAATAACAATTTTTTTGTGTTCATTAGATATTGTTTGAATTGGTTAGTTTATAGTTTAATATATTTATTATTCCAAATATTGTTGATAATTTAAAATTTAAAAGGATGTATATGATACATCAAAATCTACAGATTTTTGCCGAAGGTATCTACCGATTTGGCAACAGTCCCAAGGAACATCACTGGCCGAGCAAAACAAATACATGCCCTTTGCTTTGTGTTTGGTAAGGTGCGCACGTGCGCAGCAGTCGAAAAATATCGACTTGAGGAGTCCAGTCGAACAAATTAATTAATTATAAGACATCGCGACGTTATATAGAAATTTACACTGGGTAATTGCAGGTCAGGGGATCTTACTAATTGTATTAATAATCTGTATGTTCCGTTTTAAATCTTCCAATACTGTATATTTTGAACGACGTTGGTGAAATACAGCATCCTTGGCGCAGACCCTTGTTAACGATGAACTTTTTAGATAGTCTATTGACAATTTTTACTTGTGATGTAGAATTTTCATATAGATTTTTTAAAGCTTTGAATAGAGTGTAGCCAATGTTAGTTTCTTGTAGTGATTTCCTTCCACAATTTAGTCACAGGAACGCTATCGTATGCTTTACGGAGGTCAACAAACATGAGATGGGTCTCTTTATTGGTTGCTAATTTTTTTTCGATTATTTGTTTTACACAGAAGACATTATCTTCCGGCGCGGAAACCGGCCTGTTCTTCTTTTTCAAAATCTTCAATATCAAATCATAATTAAAATAGAGACTGCCCAAGAAAAATACCAATAATGGCAAATAATAATAATAATAAAATATGTATTGTTTAAGTGTTAAATTATTTTAAATATTAAATGCTATGTCGTTATTATACATAATCTAGTCACTTAAATAAGTAATTATATTTTCTTAAAATGATTGAAACATCGAGCTTGACATAGTTTAGACTAGATGGTGAATTATCGTACTCACAATTGGTTGGATAAACGATTTATTGTATTACAACTTCCTCAGTAGATACTCCAACACTGTAGGGTACGGATTGTCGTAATTAAGAATATTTGGTTGCAAACTTGGGAATCTCAATCTAAATTGGAATTGACAAGCTCGGCACAGGATTGGGATAAGGGACCTCAATCCGTATTGAGACCCTAATTAAACGAGAAAATGCAGAAATAAGATAGGCGAAGCGACCCAAATAAGGGGTCGCTCTCAACGAATAGAAGAGATGTTTTCCGTCTGATTGCTAAACGGAAATAATGCTAAATATAGAAAGGTGTATATTTTGATTGTTTTTAGACAGATAGATAACACTGACACATTTGTATTAAGGGGAAGAGTTTGCAATTATATATACTTCAGAATTATTATAAACAGAAGACTGAACTTCTGCATGAAGTTTAAATGTAATTTAATCAATAATTTTTTAATGTTTTGTACTATTAGATATTTTATTTATTTCTTATTACTTGTTACAGATTTTAGGTATAGGTATCGAATCAGATCTATCTGAAACGGTAACCAGACTGAAATTAAAGAATTTTAGTACCCGGCTATTAAAGAAGTCACAAATCCTTATACCCGGCTTGGTAGACACACATATCCATGCTCCACAATATCCAAATTGCGGTCTCGGATATGACATGCCTCTGTTGGATTGGCTTAACAACTACACCTATAAATTGGAGAGAAAATATAAGGATTTGGAATTTTCAAGACGAGTCTATACCACTTTGGTGGTAAGTTTTTTTATATATTTAATTTATATTAATATAGCATACATTCAACAAATAAAGCATACGTTTGTCCTTTATATATGGCACTATAGGCTAATAGGCAATTTATATTTAGTTATGTTTGTGAATTACAAATAAGTATTTATTTCAGTATTTCAGATTTGTAAGTTTATTCAGTTCCTTTCTTGTATCTTCCATTTTATAAATCGTTTAAGTAATACATATGTCTCTCCTGTCGCTGTAGAACTTTTTTGCCACTTAGCAATCTTTTTAAGATTTCCATTTCATATATGGGGAATCCCTTTCTAGGCAGATAATGTTCTTTAAAATACAGTCAAGTTTATGTCATTAATTTATTTTTTTATGTGATTTAACCATGCTTTAGCTCATGTAGTTTATTAAATGCACACATTTATTAAGAAACAGATTGACTTCCGTGGTGCATGGTAGATAGCTGAGTTAGTTAGAGCATAGGTACGGATCGCTTAGATCGTGGCTTCAAACCCTACCTGGTGTCAGTTGTTTAGACATTTATTAATTTATTTGGTCTTTATTATGGCTATGTTAATTCAAGCTTAAAATGTACTTGTTCTATTACATTGTTCTAAGATCTAAAGTAACGTTTAATAAATAGCAATAGGCTAATGAGTAACTGCTAGACTTGCTGCAAGACCAAGACCAAGACCGGGAGTGCAATACCAAGACCAAGACCACGTGTATTGATGCAAGACCAAGACCAAGACTGTCCAAGTCTTGTCTTGTTCTTGCATTTGGTCAACACTAAAGTGATGGAGTTTAAATATCTAGACATTACATTATCTAGCTACGGAAAGCTCGAAAAGGAAATGTAGTGAATAGGGCAAGACCAAGACCAAGACCGGGAGTGCAATACCATGACCAAGACCAAGACAAGGTGTATTGGTGCAAGACCAAGACCAAGACTGTCCAAGTTTTGTCTTATTCTTGCATTTGGGCAACACTAAAGTGATGGAGTTTAAGTATCTAGACATTACATTATCTAGCTACGGAAAGCTTGAAAAGGAAATGGAGTGAATAGGGCAAACAGAGCTGCAAGTTTGAAAACAATCGGAAAGCCCATCAAACTTTTTTATTGGTCTATACTGAATCGGTATAATGTGCGCATTTGCTTACCTTTCTGTTCTGGCTAAGAAGCCGACCGTTAAAGTAAACAGGACATTGTCATCCACATACCTTAGGTTTTTAATAATTTATCCAGGTATCTTATTAGTTTTCTAATTTTATTAGTTTTTATGATCTCACATTCTTTGTTTATACTGTCTAATATCTTTACATTAGCTATTTTATCTGTCCATAATATTCTTTGTACTCTACTATTTCAGCACATTTCAAGATAATGTATTTTTGTTTATTTCAGATTGTTTTATCGTCGATGTATCGAAGCCATGTATTAATATAGAAAATACGAGTACTTAGCTTCGTAGCATTCTTGTGTGAATCTTTTTGTTAGTATTCTACAGTTGTATGAATATATATATATATATATATATATATATATATATATATATATATATATATATATTTATTCGGTTTTATAACGTCTTACGACGTTGTCCGACTCCCAAACGCCACTGTATTCTGTCTTTAGTTAGGACTTCGTCCAGATTTTGAGCGCTAATCGCTTTCCTAACTCCCAGGTTCCAGCTCTGTGGTGGTCTTCCTCGTTTTCTCTTCTCTGGGGGTTGCCAAATCATCGTTTTTTTAGGCAATCTTTCTTCCCCCATTCGGCGCACTCCCGAATCTGTATTCTTCAATTAGTTTTCTAAGAATGTATTCCATGTCGTCTTTGTCATTTGAGATCACCACCTGATCATCTGCAAACTGTAAAGTATATATGTAATCCTGATCGTTCAATTGTATACCCATTCCTTTGATTTTCCTTTTCCATTGTTTCAGAGCTGCAGAGATATAAATCCTAAACAGAGTCGGAGAGATACAACATCCTTGTCTGAGACCCTTAGTAACTGCAAATTTTTCAGCTAAGAGGTTTCAGAATTTCATTTGGGAGTTTGAACCATAATATAGATCTTTGAGAGCACTAACCAATGTTTGATGTATGTTTGATGTGCCAGGACTTCCCATAGTTTATTTAGCGGGACTGTGTCATATGCCTTCTCAAGATCTACAAAAGTCATATGTAACTCTCTATTTGTCACAACTTTCTTTTCTATAATTTGTTTAAGACAAAAGATGTTATCTGTACATGAACGACCTGCTCTAAATCCTCCTAGTTCTTCGTCTTCAGACGATTGGTAATCTTTCTCTATCACGTCCCGTAGTATTCAACCGTATAGTCGACTCATTGAACTTGTGACCGATATCCCTCTATAGTTTTTACAATTTCTCGTCACCTTTTTTATATATTGGGTTCATATATGCTGTTTTCCATTCATCTGGTGTTGGATGTCCATTAATATATTCGTTAAATATCACCGTGATCATTCTGTGTAATTTCTCTGAGCCATTCTTTATTAATTCCGTAGTTACTCCCTCTGGTCCACTTGCTTTCCCATTCTTCATCCCTGCTATAGCTTTTTGAACTATGTTGATATCTATAGTAATATGTTCTCCCAGAATTTCGATTCTTGATGAATTCATATCTTCTTTAAATTCGTCTCTGTTCCCATTTAATATATGTTTGTAATAATGTGTCCAATCCTCGAGATTTATGGGATTTAGAATCACTTTCTCGTTAGTCGGCTTCTTAACAGAGTTTATAAACTTCCACGCCTCAGTGCATTCTCGTCCTCCAATATAAGATTCTATTTCTCTGCACCTTCTGTCCCATGTCTCATTTTTGGAGGTCATAATTATCTTTCTAGTTTTCTTCTTCATATCATTGTATCGGTCTTTGTCTGCGTGATCTTTTGTATTCAACCACTTATGGTATAATTTTTTCTTTTCTGTTACCGCATTTTCGACGTCTTCATTCCACCAAAGCTTGTTACTAATTTTATTTTGTTTGATTCCTAAGACTTCCTGTGCTGTTTGATGAATACTTGATATTATGTTCTCATATATGCATTTGGTATTTGTTAGTGTTTCGTCAAGTTGGGAGTCCATTCGAGTCTTATATAGTGTACGGGTGCTCTCATGAATTAAACTGGACATATTGTATTGAGGAAGATCAATTCTTTCTAAAAGTTGTTCGTGTTAGCTTAATGAGACACTGTCCTTTAATATATACGGGAAAACAATTTTTGCTCTGACCATGTGGTGATCTGATCCGTATACTGCTCCTCTCATAGTTCTAATATCTCTAATGAATATTTGTGAATTTTGTTTAACTATCACGTAATCTATTATAGACTTAAGATTCCTTGTTGGTTGAAACCATGTATATTTGTGTATGTTTTTGTGACAGTAATATCCGTTAGTTATTTTGAGTCTATTACTTTCACAAAGATTGATAAGTCTTTCTCCGTTATCATTTACGACGTCTTCTCCATAAGGTCCAATTACATTGTTGTGGCGCTTGTTTCCTGTTCTTTCATTAAAATCGCCTAATAAAAATATTTCTCGGTTATTTCCAACTCTATTAATAATTTCGTTTAATTTTGCAAAGAATTCGTCTTTTGTGGTTACATTCTCATCCTCTGAGGGGGCATATATTGCTAGTATTGTTGTTTTTTTATGGTGTAGTGTCATATTTTCTTGCAGGATATTTTCATCTATTGCAGTCCAGCTGGTAATTTTCCTTTTAAACTTTTTGTCAATAATTACGGATACTCCTCTCTGAGCTCTTTTTTCCTTTGGTACGCCGCTATACAGGTGTATGTAGTCTCCTATCATTACTGATCCAACACCCTTCTACTTTGTTTCAGTGAGGGTCACTATGTTGAGGCCAAGTTGTTTTACTTCTTTGATGATCTCTTCAGTTTTACCCCTTATTCCTTGTACATTCCATGTACCTATCATCATGGTCCTTTTTCGTAGCCGTTGTCGTCTTTGTTTAGATCCGTCTATATTTCTGAGGCTTGGTTTGGTATTTTTAGTAGTAGTTTTTTTCTAGATATTAAGGAGCTAGCTCAATGATCCAACCCCCAACCTGGAGGGCCAGGAAATTTGTCTTAAGGTTTTCAGTCTTTAGATTGACTGTCTTTCTGGACTTCAGAGATCAATCTTCCCCTCGATTTTATACAAGCCCTAAAACCATTGGGCTGCCACCTTCGCCTTCCAGACCGTTGTGAAGATCTTCTTCTCCGCCCTGTATGCCGTTGTGGGCTTCATCCGTGACTCTGGACAAGGAACCCTTAGCAGGTACTAGTTTCCCGGGTCAGGAAACACCTGGAATCTGTGGAAGATAGGGATTGATTCACTTTCCCTGATAGGGCTATCCAAAAGGAGTTCCTACCGTTACCTATAAATATATTTTCCTTTAATTTATATTCAAAATCTGCTTTCTTTTCTCTAATATTCTTCTGCACGTGTTGTAGGTATGTTATAATCTGCGTTGTAATTATTCAATTCCATGTCATTCGCAAAAATAACCGCGTTATCTGCAAATTTCAAAAATATGACATCTATGCCTTAAATGCGTCTATGCTTTTCTCTTCATAAAACAGATGAGGACTTGTTGTCTCTTACACTTGATGGTAACACCTTTGTAGCAAACATTGTGCTTTCATTAAACTCTACCACTATGTCTTCTTCTTTTGTTTAAAGCTGGCAACATTCTGATAGAGAGTTTAAGGATTTTTCCTGACTTAATACTTATTTTCCAGTGTATGGGGAGTTCACTTTTAAATTTCATATCTAATGGAATATTCTGTGATGCCGCAGAATGGTCCTGTGGCTTCTTAGATTTCTCTAGAGCCTTGCTTTACCAACAAGTTCGTCGCCTTCAACCTTTCATGTCCTGGTACACATCTTATAAATACTTTCTTACCTTTATTCAAAAGCCTCTTATATTTTCTATCAGTTTTGATTGGGTTATTGCGGTTTTTACCACTAATAACTGATAT